TTTTTCAACCCTTAAACCTTATGCAGGAGCAGTTAGCCCACGATTTACGTTTGCCTCTTTACCAATTAGAAGATTTGGTGGCCGGCAAAAGTAGCATTACTCCGGAAATTGCTTATCGCTTGTCTTGTTATTTTCAAATTGCGCCGGAAGTGTTTCTTAACTTGCAACAACGTTACGATTTAGAAATTTGAAAAGACCGCCAAGAAACCCAAATAAAAAGGCAAGTTAAGCCTTATCAGGAAAAACATCAGCCAGCAGTTCGCTAATTTTTTTGTTGTGGGAGAAAATTAGCTAAAACTCCCATTAATTCTCAACCCTCCTTTTTAAGTTAACTTGACCATGATATTTAATCCAACCCTTAACTAAACAACTATCACCACAAAAATTATATTCACTCTCTTTTATTCCTTGCTGCAAACAAGAAAAACAAGTAGGTTTTTTACAAGCATAATAATCGGATCACAACTTTTTAACCTGTTTGTTGTTTAACTCTTCTCGTAACTCCTTAATTATCTGCTCTTTGTCAGTAAATTGATAATTACTTTGTTCTAATCGGTAAAGGGCCTTCAAAGCACAATTTCAACAATATTTCTTGGTCCGATAATTATTCTGAGAAATCAAACAAATTTCTTGATTGATTTGACATTTACAGCAAGTTCCCGGAATACCAGTAATGATTAATTTAACTTCTTGCTGATTAATAAGTAAAACCTTTTCTCAATTTGGAGAGTAATTATTTGTTATGTTCATGTTCTTTATTCTTGAAATTTCCTTTTGATAAATCAGTAAATTAGTAATAATCCTGATAATCCACCCACAATTAGCAGAGCATTTTTGCCCGCTTCTTTGGGAATAAAACCCAAATATTTTTCTGATTGCTGTCCTTCTTCATTATGGTCATCATTCTTTTTCTTTCACTTGAAAAAACTACCTTCGCTGTGGAAAATATTCTTAACAATATTGGCTAGTTCATCGTTTTTTTCTTGGCTATATAAAGAATAAACGGGATCTTTTTTTAATTCGGCTTGTAAAGATTTAATTTCTTGGTTTTTTTGTGATAAAAGAGCAAATAATTGGGCTTTCTTAATCGGATCAATTTCTTCTTTTCATTCTTTGGTTAACTGGGTGGCTTCGCTATTTAACTTATCCAACTTTTTTAATTTCTCTTGGAAGTTGGCTAATTGTTGTCAAGTAGAGTTTTCGATTTGGTTCATATAATAACCTAACTCTTTGGCTAATCTTTTAAAAGTTTCTTTGATGCGAGAAGCAAAAATGCTTTTATCGCCATCGAGACCAATACAACTACCATAAAAAAACCCAACTCCACATTCATCTTCACATTTTTCTTTTAAGGACTTGAAGGAATTCAGTAGGTTTTTTTTGCTACTGGTAAATTCTTTCTCGTTTTTGCTCTTGCTTAATTTGATTTGTTGTTTAACTAGTGTATCGAAAGTCCGAAAATTTTGGTTAATTTGTCGCAAATCATCGGTCATTTTATGCCGGCCACCATAATTACACTCGCCACCGACAAAATAATTGCCTTTGCACCAGTCACAGTTGGGATGACCTTCTTTGGCAGTGCCATTGTTTATTTCTTTACCTTTGCATTTAGGGTTTTTAACGATTAAACAGAAGTCATGAGGAGTTATTTCGTATGCCATAGTTAATTATCACCTCAAATAGTAGTTTTGACTTTACCTCAAATCCACATAAACCCTTTATACATGAAATAGGTTGAAATTAAGGAAAAAATTAATATTCCTCATAATCAGGGGGACTTAAAATTCATATCTAAATATCAGGGTTTATCTTGCTCAACTGATTTAAAATATTCTTCAATTAATTTAGCTTGCTTTTTGGCTTCTTCTTCACTTTTTTTTAGTGCTAAACGAGTGGACTGCTGATTTTTATCATTATCTTTCATCATGGCGGTAATTTTGGCAACTTGTACGGGATCACTATTTTCTTTGGCTTTTCTTAACTCCTCAGCTAATTGAATATTCCGCTTATCCTGCTTGTCTAGTTTATCTTTTAGAGCCTTGTTTATTGTTTCCTGTTCAGCCGAATTTTCACTTTTTAGTTGACTCAATAACTCCGATTTTTCTTCCTTGCTCATGTTTTTAATCTTTTCTAATTGCTCTTTTTTCTCTCGCGGGGTCATTTGTTTGTCACCTAATTGCTCTTTGATTTTATCAGCAATGTCTTTATCTAAGTTATCCAATCTATCGGTGATAGGTTTCAATATTTCTTGTTGTTGGAGCTGGGTATTTGTAGGTGGATTACTACTGTTCTTGGGAATACTAGAATCAACAACTTTGTCAACGACTTTTTTAGTTGCGTAAGTAGCAACAACTCCTATTATAAAAGGTATAAAAAATGCCATAATATTATTCGATCCCGTGATTTAATTTCTTAAATAAACTAAAAATAAATTTCACAATTAGTATTGCGACAATTACCGCTACCGCAATTATCCCTCAATTTTTCCAAGCTCCTAAGTCAGGAGAGTTTGATTTGGCGGCAAATTGCTCTTCGGTTAAATGAGAAAAGTTTCCAATATCATCAAAAACTTTTTCTAGTTCTTTGTTATTCTTGGCAATTTGACTTTCTTTTTCTTTGATTTGCGTTTGAACTCCACTAATTTCTTTTTCGGTATCTTTCAGTGCCGCTATTTTTTTAGTCTTCTCGGTCGGATCAGATTCATCAGCTATTTCTTGGGCTTGTTTAGTTTTTTGTTTTTCTAACTTTTCCAATTGTTTCTTTAACTCGGCTAATTCAGTTAAAACCTCTTTGTTTTTTTCTTCGTAATAATTCTTCTTGTCTTCTCGACGTTTTTTTGCGTCTTCATATAATTGCGTTTTGGGAACTCCTAACTGCTCGGCTCGATTAGCCGGAGTAGAACCCCACCTTTCAATTATCGGTTTCGCGGCAAAATAAGTCAGTCCGGCTCCAATTACAAATTTAATTAATCCGGCAATGGCCGGTTTGGCTAATAATGCTAAAAACATAATGTTACTTTTCTTCGCCTATTTTCATTATGCCGAAGAACTTGCCGAATAATCAAGCACTAAGGAAGAGTACTGCCAGGGAAATTCCACCGGCATAAACATAATCCCAAGTTCCGATAACTTTCTTACTAAAATCTTCGGTTTTTTGAATATCCTGAGTGAGGGTTTGGACTTCTTGTAAATTAGGAAGATTAGCCAAGGCTTTGCTTTCTTCCTCAGTTAGTTCCTCGGTTTTTTTCTTTTGTAACTCTTTCATCTTTTTCATTCCTTCGCCCAGTTTGGTTTTTAAATCCTTAATTTGGGCAGGAGTTAAGGTTTCTAAATCATTGACATCAAATTCTTCTTCTAATTCTACCTTTGCCATGATTTGTTGGATCTTTTCCTTTTTACTCGGGCATTTTCACTGCAAAAAGAAATAACCGGCCACTAGGGCTAATATTAAGGCAATTAATAGTATAAGTGCTGACATAATTATTGCTCGCTAAAACCGATTTGTCGGAAGATGCTGCCCAAAACACCCACACAAAACTTGTAGATTATATAAAGTGCCACAACAAATCCACCTAATCACATCCCATTAGTTCAACTGATTTTATTCGGCATCATAGACTTCCAGCCACCTTTTTCTACCACTTTTAAATCTTCTAAATTAGTTTCTATTTCTTTCAGTTCCTTGGCTTTTTCTTCCTTGACTTCTAATTTCTCTTTGGCTTTGTCGGCTTTATCGGCGTCACTACCAGCGAGGATATCTTTTCTTTCTTTTTCAATCTGCTTAATCTCTTCTTTGACTTCTTTTTGTTTGGTTTCTCCTTCTTTAACAGCGGCTTTGATTTCATCTTTTTCCAGTCCTTTGACATTCGGGTTATTAGTGGGACTGTCCAGCCTTTCCGCAATGAATTTCTTGTAAATGTAATAACCTGCCGCAGCGGTTAATAATAAGGGTATTAAATTGAGGATCATATTTATTTGTTTGCTTTACTCCAAGTCGGAGTTCCTTTGCTTTTAGTCATATATATATTTATATTTTAACTACTTAACTATATATTAATTAACTATTATTTAACTAAAAATATATTATATAATTAATTTTAATATTACCATGCAAAAAACTCTCCTCATTAAACAACAAGAATATCAATCAATGGTTCATTTAACTGTTCCTCAAATAAAGAAAGAAGGTAATTGCTTTAATTGCCAATTAGACAAACCAATTTTCTTAATTACTCAAAAAGAAGGTGAAATTTACGAAAAGAGATACTGTTGATCCTGCTCACTTAGTTCTTTTTACGAATTAGAGCAGGCTGATTACCAAATAAAGAACAAAAAGCAAGAAATTAAAGAACTGCGAGCGGCTATCTATCAAGATGATAGCAAACTAAACACCGAATTAAACTAATATGAACGCAAAAGAAAAAACTAATTCAATTTGTTGTCACCTCAACAATATTCTCCGGGAAACCTACTACGAACAAATTCATGGTAAAAAAGGTTACTCTTTGGGCTATTATACTACTTATTATTACTTATTAAAAGAGTATAAAAAAGCCGGGCAATTATGTGCTAATTGTCAAGACTTTGCCAGTAAAATATGAACTCTTTATTTAGAGGTGAGAAATAAATATCAAGCCTAATTATGACCTGACAGCAATTTAAACAATATTTAGAAAAAGACATTATCCGAACCGAAGAAAATGAGGAAGAAGAAACAATTTATACTCTCCACCCCGAAGTCAAAAATAAATATTCCCTCAGTTCCGAGCCAGAATTAGTTGAGGTTTTGACTAATTTAATTGCCAGTATTGACAATATTCCTTATTATTCCTCTTCTAATATGTACTCCTCACTAGATGAGCAAGATGAGAATCATTATCCTTTACCAGAACTAACTAATTTGGTTAATGAACAAGAACAAATAATGACTTGACAGCAACTATTCCCTAAAAAAGAAGAAATTCAGTTTGGTAAAAAGTCAGAAAATCCCCAAAAAATAAGTGTAACTATTTACCAGAACTTAGCCAAAATATTTAATGATTGGACGAAAACAGTTACTCGTTCGGAACGATTAAAAGCCGCTTTAAGTGAGGATCAGGTCATGATGAAATTCTTATTAGAAGCGGCTATTAGCCTTAATTATGATCTGATCAAGAGAAAAGGTTATGACATTCAGTTAAAAAACTGACAAGCCGAATATAACCAGTTAGGAGATGAGGAGAAAGAGGATTTAAAAAAACAAAAAGAGCTGGTTGATAAATTATTAACGGCTTTTGCTGAAGAAACAACTAATAGAAAGCAAAAAGAAGAGAAAAGTAGTTGATATCACAATATTCCCTGAACTAGTGTAATTTGGTATGGTTGTGGGATATTGTTGGTTGTTTTAGTAATTGGTTGATTACGAAGTAAGATAAGAAAGTAAAAGATTATGAAATTATTTTGTTCTCATTCTTCCTTTACTACTTGCGACTATTGTTATTATGCTTACTGTCATGATTGAAGATATTTACTGACTGAAAAAAAGTGTCCCAGGCATGACAGTAATCTAGTCCATTATTATGGCGATAGTGTGATTTATTGTTTAGTAGGAAAAGAGATTTTTAGAAAATAATGGGAGTTTATTAGTTCTCCCTGAAAAAAATTAGTGATTAAGACCTTGCAAAAAAGCTCGCACACTTAAATTCTCATCTATTTCTGGCCAGCAAACTCCATATTTATCAGAACTAATGCGAAAATTTTTCAACTGTTTTAAAGTGGCTTGGCGAGTGCGGGGATATCAATCGGTGGGAATACTAACCTTCCGACCATCCTCCAAAAAAGCAGTAATTTCTTCCTTAGTACATTCTATTCCCACTATTGAAGGATAAGTTTCTAACTTCTCTTCTGGATAAAATATGGGTTGTTGATTATTTTTTTCCAATCTTTCCGGTTTTCTTAAAATCATATCAATTATTTAGAAATGTTTTATATTTATTTTCAATTATTTTTAACGCCTCAGTGCGTTTGTGCCGAGGTAGATTGGCTCGGATCCAAGCCACCGGCAAATCTTCTTTTAATCAGACTTTCATGGTTCCGCCTTCTTTATACTCTATGTGAACATGAGGTGGTTCATCCAAATCAGAAGAGTAGAAAAAGAATACTAAACCACTTTCTTCATGAAGGGTTGGCATCTATATTTATATTTTAATCTTAAAGAATTATATGACTAATTATAATTTAGAAGATTTTAAACAGTGATTAGAAGTTGACCCAACTAGAAAAGAAGGTTTTCCCCTGCTTGATAATTTCTTAAATGCTCACACTTCCCTTAATAATAAAGTTACATGAAATAAAGCAGTGATAAAAGTAGGGAAAAGCGAAGGGTTTTCTTGAAATATGCCAAATCTAGCCCATCTAAAACTAGTCAAACAATGAAAAGCCGAAGTAGACCAAAACAACATGCCAGACCAACTAAAATCCTTATTAGAAAAATTAAAAACTAACCAAGCTAAATGGGTAGTTATCAGCCAAAACCAAGTCTTAATTCGGGATGCCGTGGAAAATTTCTGTTGGATGAATCCTCCCTGACTTCCCAACATAGTAACCTCCAATTTTACAATAGATCTGAAGGAATACACTTAATGGAAAACCAATTGAAAGAGTTGGAAGAGCAAAAGAGAGATGATCTTCCGATCGAGAATATCGACCAAAGGATTACAAAAATAAAAAGAAGATTACAGTCCTTTAAGGAAATCGAAAAACAACAACAAAATTCCTGAGCAACTCAAATTGCCCAACATCAAAAAAATGTCGATCAGTGTAAAACAGTTTTGGCTAAGTTACCAACCACTACTGAATCAGTTCCAGCTGAGGTTCTCACCCAGGATGGTGAATTCTTTACCCAATTACTAACCGTTTTAGAAACTATCTTAAAAAAATTGGAAGAGAATGAGCAGTTGGAGCAAGAATTTGCGGAAATAAAAAGGCAAAAGGAGGAATTAGAGATTAAACTAAACGATCAAGAAACCAACTTAAACAATCTTCGCCAACAATTAGATCAAATTAAAAGTGAACTTTCTAAAAAACAGCAAGAGCAGCAAGATTGCCAACAAAAATTAAACACGGCTCAAACTAAATCAACTGACTTAGAAAATCAGTTAACTGCCTTGGCCATATCGAGTGGTCTCCTCACCCAACAAGTCGAAAATTTAACTCAGCAACTCAGTACCAGCGAACAAAAAGCAAGGTCAGCCAAACTAGAAGCCGAAGTTAAAGATGATTTGCTAAAACAAAAAGAGCAAATTCTAAAAGATAAAGATAATAAAATTTCTCAACAAGTCGCCCAAATTGAATCCTTACAAAATCTTTGCCGCCAAAATGATGAACAATTAAAAAAGTGTCAAGAGATTATTCAACAAAAAACCGAACAATTAACCAAATTGGAGCAGGAAAAAGACAATCTGCAACAAGAACTAGACCAAGTCCAGGAAAAGATAAAGCAATTAGAAAATTCTTTACTTACTGCCCAAACCAAAATTCAGCAGTTAGAAGCCAGAATTAAGGAACTAGAAACGAAGTTGTCGGAGACCCAAAGCAATCAAGAAGATTCCTCTGAGTTAGAAAGATTAAAAAAAGAACTAACTATTGAAAAACAAAAGAATCAACAACAAAAAACTCAATCTCAGTCGGAAATAACCAAACTAAAAGCAGAATTAGCCCAAGCCAAACTGAGGGAAGAAAAATTAGCTCAAAAAATTAAGAAATTGAGTAAAAAAACTATTCAAGTTGAGGAGAAAAGTAGTTCTCCTTCTTTTTGACAAACTATCAAAACCCCTCTTTTTTATACCGGAGGGATTATTTTAATAATAATTGTGGTAGGATATGTTTTGAGCAAATTTAAAGAAAAATAATATGCTAGGAACTTTATTTTTATTTTTAATTATTATCCTCCTTATTTTGGGAGTGATCTTTTCCTTCACTTTGCAACCGCAAAGAAAGCAAAAAGAAACCTTCGAAACTACTAACTGGGAATACCAGCAAGAGCAGTCGAAAAGAGAAAGCGAGGCAGAAAAAAATAAGGAATGATTTAGTGAGAAGAGATGACTAACTGATAAGGAAATTGATTGAGCCACAGAAAGACTGGTCAAAAATGACAAATTTAAAATCTTACCTGCCCATCAATTCCATTACGTTAAAGAA